AGGCAACTCCGGCATGCGCACGAGCAAGCGCCAGCCATGGCGATGTGACTGGATGAGGTCAATGGCGTGGCCACGTGATGGATAAGGATGGCCGCGAGAAATATCTTGCCACCGGGACACTGGCCTAGCCGGCCTATAAATAGGCCCGGCCGGCGACGCTCTTGGCTTGCCCTCTCCACCACCAGCTCGACCGAGTGTAGGAACACCCCATCTCCCCCTCCTCTTCCCCTTTCCCCTCCTCTTTCCCCTCTTTTTCCACTTTTTTCTTTTCTGAAGTTTGCTGGCACCATCAGCGCCGCCCTCTCCTTCCTTCTTCTCTGCTACGTCTCTGGCTGATTGGAGCGACCGATGGGGCCCCAAGCCTCTCCTCTTCCTTATGCAGTAGCTAGTAGGTAGTTTAGGTCTCTGCGTTGCACTGTCCGCGTGAGCCCCGCTCCGCCGAGCCGCCATGGCCGTCGGCCATCACCGATGAGGCCACCCCAGGGCACATCACCACCCCACTGCATTTCTTATTCACCCTCACCCACGTACACATAGTTAGCTGAGTAGTATAGGGCCTCTAGGGCCGAGTCTAGTGCATGGCGCCACCACGGGCACCCGTTGCCGACGGCGACCCCGCCACCGGCTGCAGCGTTACCCTGTGGACCCCATCCACCCCTCATCCACCACTCCCGAGGACTAACGCCATCGGCGTAAGCCACTCCGGTGAGCCCTACTCCATCACTGGCGTGGGCCCCTCCATCCGCCGTCGTTCCCCCTCCTCCCTTTCTCTCTCTCCTTGGTGGACCGGAGAAAATGGCGTTGTCGTCCCCCTCCGTCCCCGTCAGTCTCTCTCTCCCTCCTCTTCCTTCGCCGACAGGTGGGCCCATGGATTAAATGACGATGCCGCTGTCACTGTTGACGTAAGCAGGTGGCCCACCTGTCACACACACAGCGCGGGGTACGCTTTAGAAAATACTGGGTACACCTGGCTAGTGTACACTGAGAGTTAGAAATGCATTTTCCTAGTTTAGAAAAATTCTTAGAAAATTTGTAAATAAACTAGATGCATTAGGGAAATTAACCATGTAGTTTGCACATATTTTCATGCACTAGAAAATGCATATAAAATTCCACCTAGTTAATTAGCTATAGAATAAACTTTTTAAATACACAACTTTTAAACCCTAACTCATTTTTGCATGAAACCACTTCTAAAATTCATCTAAAATCAAACCCTACCATTTGCACCTAGTGCCACCATATAGTTCTATGGTTGCTTTTTATGCTTTTCTTTCACGTATAGCGGTAGTCTTATTCGACCAATACATCCGACAGACGATGATAATCGTCAGGACAAAGACCCAAATTTCGTAGACGTGCCGAAAAGTGTCAACAATGAAGGCAAGTCCTAGCTCTCCTCCCTACCATCTTGCTTTAAACCATTGAAATGCTAAAACATGACTATGAGATTATTACCCTAGAAAAATGAGCTCGGTTAATGCGATATGATTAAGATAAATGGTTATCTTGTTATTTTATGAGCTCCACACCATGACTAGATTTAGGGATAATAATAGAACTTAAAACTTGTTAAACCTGAACTAAACCCTAACATGGGGCGAGTGGTGGTAAACTATGGAGGTAGTTTATCATGGCAGGAATGCCTGGAGAGGATTCCTATGGGAGATCCTCGCCTCGGTCACATAAGGACCGGTTCGTAGTCCCTCTCGCCTAGTGAGTTATTTTCATACAGCCACATATCTATATGGGTAGGCTTGATCTCACACCCCGTTAGATAGAAGTATAATATCTACTAAGAGGTCGGTGTAGGCAGCGGAATATCAGGAGCCGATATGGGGAATAGGTTTTCCTCCGTATCTGGTTCGCGTGGTTGCTATGTGATCTTCCACGCTAAGCTTTTGGTTTTTAGGCTGCGTTCGAGCCGCTGTTTTCTTGGCCGTGTTCAAACCATGTTTTTCTTTTGTGATGATTTGGTATCATCACGTTTGGAGGGATTTGGTACCTTCTCGGTTTTGTGTATCCAACCCCTGAGAAGCCGTAGTAGAGTTATATGGACATCTAAGGTCGTGTACATTCGGGTACGAGGTCTCGTTAGGTCTATTTCGTCCACCGATCATGGATGAGGTTGCACCTATCGTGTGGGGAAATTTGTACACCTCTACGAATAGCCACATCCTTGGAATGGACAAATGCTAGGATGGGATACTATGATTAGCTTTATGGTTATGTGTAATGAAACTGGTAATGGAATTGATGCTAACCCGAGTACTAGTGGGAATGGTAATACTCCGCTAGGACCCAACCCTTAATTATAATCACCACTATACTTCTATTTCCACCCTATGGTTGGGACTTGATGAGTACGTATGTACTCACCCGTTGTTGACTCACAGACTTCGGCACAGAAGAAGACTATGACTTTGAAGACGAAGCGTACCATGAGGATTAGGTTTCCCGTAAGGAGATACAATCATAGGAATGTGACATCGAGGCTAGGGTTTTGTCCGCGCTCAAGTTGCCTGTGGAATAGGATGTCGTTTCATTGTGTTATAATCCCGCTTTAGGGACCACCAATAATGTCGTTTCACGATCGTAGCCTTCCGCTAGCTATGTAGCCTATGACTAAGCCCCTTGGGCCACTGTTATAGACCTTATTTTAGATATCAATAAAGCTCGGAACCTTTTGTTATATATCTGTGTACGTGCGTATTTGTGCGTGATCCTAGCGCAAATACGGATACACTGAGGACTATCAAATTGAGGGGCCGACACCCGCCTAGCTCCAGTAGCACACGACCTCCACCCTCCACCACCATCAATAATGCTACTCGATTGAAGCTTGCCGCACTCACTGCCACCATTTCTCAAGGGTTATCCTCCATCACTGCAAGGTCGATGCCGCCCCTACCACCTCGCCATCTTCCAAAGTCTGCTACTACCTCTAGATCGGTAATAAGCTTTTCAACAACCCACAAAGTTCAATAGTCTCAAACAAGGGCATGCTTAGCATGGCTCCAGCAGCAACTTTTACAAAGGAGCCGTACAAAACATTGTTTTTGTTGAGAAGTTATTTTCTGATGAATAGCAGAGGAGCTAGAGCCATCTTTAGATGAGGAGCCGAAGGTGGAAAAAAGTCAATCCTCCTTAAGTGCTCCGGCCCATTTGGATGAGCATTTGAGGAGGAGCCATGCCAAACAAACTCTAAGGCCTCGAGATCCTAAAATTGACCTCATATTTGGTGATGGATGGATAAGCAAGTAATCAATCACCTAAGGAGGAGTAAATCTACTAAAATGTACTCCCTCTAATTCCCTAATAAAGCAAGTCGTTTTGGACATTAACACGGTCTTGAAGAACGACTTTGACTGCTACTTTTTGCTATAAAATATAGTCAATATATATACTTTTTATGAAACTACATTTTAAGTACTTACATCACTTTCCTATTTTAAAACTCAACTAAAAAGAATTAATTTTGAAATCAAAGTTTAAAATGTTTGACTTAAGACAACCTTAGAACGACTTGATTTAGGGAACCGGAGGGAGTATTTTCTTAAGCAAAAGTAGTTATAAATTGTAAAAGTTGTTTTTATAATAAGTCTAATAATGTCAATTTTGTGGGTAAAATAAAATTTAGACATTATAGTTAAGCTAAAAAGTTTGACTTAAGACAAGACATATATTTGAAAACAAATGAAAGTATTTATGTATAAATTATAAAAAAGATTGCATGTACTATGATACAAAACCTTAGACACAATTTTTTACTAAAAGAATATTTTATTAGGCTCTAAAACCCCTTAGGTGAAATCATAATACACTGTTTTTAGCATCGAAATCATAATACACTTTCTCATGAAACGTAAGATCTCGATGATTTAGATGGATGCTGCTTGTCCCATCCTATTCCGTTCACTTTTTTTCCCTCTCGTGGTCGGAGCCGAACAAGGCGTATATCCATATATCAAATAAAATATCGTGTTGGGAAGTCGGTATCCCGCCATTCTGGTTACACTTTTAATGGATGCAAAACCTTAGACTCATTTTTCACAAAAAGAAAATCATTAACACACAATTTAATGCCCAAACATCGTCCCCTCCACTCTCCCACGTTCCTCAGGTTGCGTTCTCCTTGTCCAGATTCTTCTTTATCCGTTGCCGTGCTGGCACTGGCACTGTGGTCCCCACCAAAAAGACGAGCGCCCGCGTCGTCCACCCAAGCTGGTCTCCCCACGCATCCAGCCACGTCGGCATCACACCCTCGCGAGATCCCTCCCTCACCCCCCCGTGCACCCAGCTCACACCGACAACACCCACCGACACGCGGGTCCCAGACAACCCGGTCCCACGCGTCACCCACACGCGCCACCCCGCGGCTGCGTTCCTCGCGCCGTCCCGCGGCGGAGAGTGGCGTTTGACCGCCCCCGGCCGGCGTGGGCTTTTCTTTCTTTCGTTTGTTTAATTCCTCCGCCTCGCTTTCAGCCTCTCATGGCCAGCGCGGGACTCCACCACTTCTCTCCTCCCCGGATCACCCACCGAACCCAACCGGCGTCCAGATCTTCTCCCCCGCGGTTCAGATCCCCGGACAGCGCTGGCGCCGCCTGAAGAATCTGCAGCAGCGGCGAGGTAAGCTCTTTTGGTCTTTTTCTTTTCTTCTTGAGTACCACAGCCGTACAGGTTCATTTCGTGGTTGGATTTGGAGCTGCTTCCCGCGAAAGCGTGGCGTAATTGGGTTGCTTTACTGGTAGCTGCGATGCTGCTTAGTTTGATTCTTTTCTGCTTCCTAGTTTTTTTGCAGCTTGTTTCTTGCTTGGCGATTACAAAATATCCAAGTGCTCTGCTGGTTTAATTAATCAAAACTGCACTGTTCAAGCAATAATTGAGTTCGTCCCTTGCAACTTGCAGAGTGTGTGGCCATCTGACCTCCCTCCATGTCTATGTTTTCTGCTGCCAGGTTGCTTTGAGGCTGTGGTGGATCTCCTGGCCGGCGTGGCGACATGGGGCTGGGTTTGGGAGCTCTTCTCAAATCCGGCGGGCTCTCGGTCTCGGACTACGACGCCATCGTCTCGATCAACATCTTCATCGCGCTGCTCTGCAGCTGCATTGTCATCGGCCACTTGCTGGAAGGGAACCGATGGGTCAACGAGTCCATCACAGCGCTTGTCATGGTGGGCTCTCGCAGTCCGGGTGTTTGTGGTTTTGCTTCCGTGGCCACTGGTTTGAGTGTGTGCCTTGTTTCCTGTAGGGCCTCATCACCGGAGGCGTGATCCTGCTGGTCACTAACGGGACAAACTCACGCATCCTTGTGTTCAGCGAGGACCTGTTTTTCATCTATTTGCTTCCGCCGATAATCTTCAATGCCGGGTGAGTCTGCTTAGTACCATCATGGTTTTTGTGTCTTAGATTTCCTTTGGAGCCGAATTTTCTTCCTAGGTGGCAAATGTTGTCGTAGTTTGATCTTAGTGTTCAAGCAATATGCAAAATTTCGTGAGTTTAACAAAGCCATGTAATGTGAGAGTTTAATCGCTAAATGAGCAATGCACAACCAATGTAGTCAGCTTTGGACCTAATCTCTTTCCTCTGTATGTTAATTACACTATGGTGAAACCCTGAAACTCACTATCTTTACTATAAACTCATTTTCTCCAAAAGTCCTAAACAACTGCTTCCCCGAAGTATAAAGTTGCCTTTGGATTCTCTAGGGTTTGTATCAGGGTCTTATAGGGACCCTTCTATAACTAAATGATTCAAATTATGAGTAAGCACCACTTTGTTTAATCATTTTTTTTCTGAATTTGGCAAGCTATTTCAGTAATTTAGGCTAACAGAACTGTGCTAGACTATCTGCAGAACACAGTAAAACATTTTCCACTGTTTGTCTAAACTTCAAAGTTACATTTGATACAAGTAATGAAGTATGCCTTTTTAAATGTTTCCCCACATTATCAGGTTTCAAGTAAAGAAAAAGCAATTCTTCCGCAACTTTATAACAATTATTTTGTTTGGTGCTGTTGGAACTCTGATTTCCTTTGTAATAATCTCTCTTGGTAAGTTGCTAAACCACTTGTGCTGTTTGCATGGTCTTACTTTGGTTTCACATGTATGCTCATATTGTTTCTAATCACACAATATTTTTGAGGAAAAATATATTACCGTTAGTATTTCGCATATAAAAAGCATGATCGTGGTAGATTAGGTGCTATATAAAACACTTGCAGTGCAAGCCAACTTCATTTTCCCTAGTCAGTTGTAATAATAGATTGTTGGTTTTGTGGTGTACCATGTGGGATAGTACTTCAGTAAGCTATACACTAGGTTGAAACTTGAAACAAATGGCTTTGAGAATTTGGATTAAGACATGTTGTGTTAAATGGATATGTGTCCTATAGGGTAGGAGCTGGTGTCTTCAGGGTTCGACGTTCCTTCCAAACCAACAGAATTGTCCTGAGACCTGGGAGGTCTAGTAAGTAGTATAGTGTATATGGCCGTTATTTGTAATCCATAGTGACTAGGGCATGCTAACAGTGGACACTGAAAAGAAGTCAGTTCCTTTTAATTCAAAATGTGCCCTTGCATATACATTTGAAAACAAGAAATTAGATAATTTAGATAAATACTAAATTAAGTATGCTGCTTGACAGTTGGCCACCAAATAATTTGTCACTGATAATTTGTTGTTCTTGAAATCTGTGGAGGTCATCTTCATACAGGAAGTTACATTCAAATATGACATGTTCAAACCTTGTAGTTGTCAGACTTGTCTTGCTCGGCTTCTAAGTCTTTTTTGTCTAATGGACATATCAGGTGCTATGGGATTGTTCAAGAAACTTGACGTTGGTCCACTGGAGCTTGGGGACTATCTTGGTTGGATATATACTAGACCCTTTTCATTCTCTGATAGTCTGATTAGACCATGGATGCCATTGTCAATTTGCTAATACTTGTTTTTTTTGTTTACCCATGTTTGCAGCAATTGGTGCTATTTTCTCTGCGACAGATTCTGTTTGCACCTTACAGGTTTCTTGTTGAACAATCTGCCATCTTTATCTTATAAAATGAGATAGGAAGCCAATTTAATTGGAAATTCATTACTTGCAGGTGCTTAACCAGGATGAAACACCCCAACTCTATAGTCTAGTTTTTGGTGAAGGTGTTGTTAATGATGCCACATCTGTTGTGCTCTTCAATGCAATTGAAAACCTTGATATTGCTAATTTTGATGCTATTGTTCTGTTGAATTTCGTCGGAAAATTTCTCTACCTGTTCTTCACCAGCACCATACTTGGAGTAGCTGTAAGTAATCACCTACTGCCACTGTTGTGAATCGTCTTATGAATACTTTCCTACTGCCAAAATAATCAGAAAATCTACTCTGTTGATTTTAGCATGGCTCTTTTGACTGACTAATTATGTTGTTTCATGGCAGACTGGGTTGCTTAGTGCGTACATTATCAAGAAGCTCTGTTTTGCCAGGTCTGTACACAACTCTCTGGCTCTGTGGGGTAGTTTATTGTGTTTTACTTTACACTACAAAACAACAGACATTTGAAAATTACTGTTTCATGCTTGTGATGTGCAGACATTCAACTGATAGAGAAGTTTCTATCATGATACTCATGGCATACCTTTCGTACATGCTGTCAATGGTAAGTGCATGAATATAAGAAGTTCCAAACGTCATAAATAAGCAAGTCTTGGAAAATGTTTATGGGGGTGTATATTAAAATCATATGGTATTGATATTATTATTAAAAATTTAACCTTTAGTTACTAATTTCTCTTGATCTGCTACCTTTGTTCTTATTTTCCTGCAGCATGCACTGATCTCAGTTTCTTAGCCTTTTGCAAACAACATAATACCAAGATTTGTTTCTGATATTTTCTTCCATTTTTCAGCTGTTGGACCTGAGTGGCATTCTTACTGTCTTCTTCTGTGGAATAGTAATGTCACATTACACTTGGCATAATGTGACAGAAAGTTCTAGGGTTACCACTAAGTATGTCTTTTCTGGATTCAGCATTTCTAGCAAAAATTATGGTTCTAACATATGTATACTAATTGCTGATTTTCCCTTTCCATGCTGCAGGCATACTTTTGCAACTTTATCATTCATTGCAGAAATTTTCCTCTTCCTCTATGTTGGGATGGATGCATTGGACATTGAGAAGTGGAAATTAGCTAGTAGCAGGTACCTTTCGCTGTTGGAATGATTGATATTTTAAGGACTAGATATACCAACATAGATAACATACTAGTAAGAAAATTTCTGCTGTGTAATTAGTTATCTTGAACAAACTACATGTATCAGCTATTGACTCTGCAGTCTGCATCCAGTTAGGCTGATGTTATGTCAGTCCTGAACTAAAATATTCTTGTTATACTGGTTCTGTTGTTGGCAAGAGGAACCTGTATTCTTTCTTTTTTATTTGGAGATTCCTCATTGAACCAGAATACCAGATCCTTCATTAGGTTTCTATTAACTGTTGTTTGCCAAGTGAGCAGCAATGGTCCACACCCCCCCCCCCAACCACCCCAAAAGCTAATATATCTATTTGTTTCTCCTATGATGCAGTCCTAAGAAACCAATTGCTTTAAGTGCAATTATATTGGGATTGGTTATGGTTGGAAGAGCAGCATTTGTATTCCTTTTGTCGTTCCTATCCAACCTAAGTAAAAGGAGGCCCGTCCAAAGATCTCCTTCAAGCAACAAGTTAGTACTAGATCTTTTTTCATTCTTCTGCCATTGTGTCCCTCTGAAACCTGAAAAGAGCTAACGCTGCTGGTATTTTCCTTTAGGTAATCATATGGTGGGCTGGTCTCATGAGAGGAGCCGTGTCAATTGCACTTGCCTATAACAAGGTGATGTTTGAATCGAATTGTCATCTGCTTTGAATCTGCTACCAGATTTTTACATATCATTGCTTGAGCATTTATAGGCTCTTATTTATACTAGGCCATGTAAACTTTTGCAGTTTACATCATCTGGTCATACTGAAGTGCGAGTTAATGCTATCATGATCACCAGCACAGTTATTGTTGTTCTATTCAGCACAATGGTAAGCCTGCTATATCTTATTATTATCTTGAACAGCTGTTCTTCGTATATATGCATATGTTACACAGTCCAGCACAAAACATGACACTGAAACCATGGGTATAATAATAACACATGTGATGTTTTTCATATTTGTTTCTTCATGCTATATGTGAATATGCAAATAGAATTGAAGGTCCATACACATGAATCAACTAGTTTGTTTGTTTTTTCTTTTGAGAAAAATGAAAGTACTACCATTTTGCTAATTTATATGCCACCATTTAATTCAGGTTTTCGGTCTGCTGACCAAGCCGCTGCTTAGTCTCCTCATCCCACCAAGGACTGGCCTGAACACGTCATCTCTGCTCTCAAGCCAGTCTATTCTGGACCCACTTCTTACTAGCATGATGGGGTCTGACTTTGATGTAGGACAGATCAACTCACCTCAGTACAACCTCCAGTTTATTCTCACAGCGCCAACTCGCTCTGTCCATCGCCTTTGGCGCAAGTTTGACGATCGGTTCATGCGCCCGATGTTCGGGGGGCGAGGTTTCGTTCCCTTTGTGCCTGGTTCGCCGGTGGAGCGGAGCGTCCCTGAACCTTACCTGGGCACTGTGACGGAGGCTGAGCATAGTTGAAATGAGTCAAGAAAGATGTATACAATTTTCTGTAGATCTTCAGACAGATACCACTCGTACTCCTATTTTGTCCTCAGAATCCATTGGTGTAAATTGTTGTTGTAGTATCTTGTGCAGATAGTTTCTGTAGAGCTACACAAGCTGCTGTAAATTTCTGGGAGGCACTCCCAACTGTAGAATACCACAAGTCATCTGTAAATTTCAATGTTGTTCAAGAAGAAGAATCACATGCTAGCATATTGGCATGTTTTTTTTTTTTTATAATTGTATAATTGTGGGCCTGGTGCCCTGGTACAAACAGTTTCTCTTTTTCCTGAACTGAAGTTACCATGTCTCAAACGATGTTGGGTCTGGTCTAGTGGTCTTAGTTTTTGTTACGGGATTTATAGATTTACCCCAGGAATGTCAAACGTGAAAAAAACAAGATTGTCAAAACTCCCAGTGATTTTCCCTGTACATTCCCTTGGTTTGATGAAAACCCTGCCTCTTCCTTGAGCAAAAACCTTGAGTTTGATGGTTGGTTGTTTTAGCTTTGTCCTAAGTCAAACTTAACTAGTTTCGACCAAGTTTATATAAAAATACATAATCATCTATTAATGACGAATACTGCATTCCGAACCGCTTCTAAAGCACCACGCATGACTTATTCCGAATACACTTTCTTGATTTGGGTAGAGGGAGTTTGAGTAGGTTCATAAGTCGCCTGTATTTCTCTGTAAGATTGTCCAGTGTGTTGGATGCTTGAAACAATATGGAATCATCGGTGTTTCAGTTCAGCTTTAGCTACGTCGTGTAAGCAGCAATGTGGACCCCACATGTTATAAACAAACAAGTAGAAAATGAACCTAACTTGTGTCTCCCAAGTGCATTTGCATGTTCTGTCATGTGGACCTACGAGCCATTTTAATCTTTAAGCAAGCCTCGATGCTGGGAATCTTTTTTTCTCAGCACTGCATACGACAGTGGGTTGCGTCGAGGCTAAAAGGCACATTTTGGTTCCAAGCATCGGTAAAAAACTAACATTGTGGCTAGTCTAAGCTGATATATCCTGTAAACATTACACTTTCTATAAACACAGGGCCAATGGTCTTTGATATAAAAAAAATACACTCCTTTGAGATTGTAACTCTTGTACTCCCTCCATTCCAAATTATAATGTCGTTTTAACTTTCTTGGCTCATCCATTTTACTATGTATCTAGATAATAAAAAAATCAAAGCGACTTATAATTTGGAACGGAGGAAGTAGCATTCTCGTATCTTTGCCTCGTAGAATTTAGTATGAAGCAACTCGATCACGGATGGTACAGATACTGACTTGCTTTGGTTGATACTATAAATTGTTTTAGCTTTGTCCTAAGTTGAATCTGTCTAATTTTGTTAAGTCTATAAAAATACATTAAATTATTCCCAAACAAGAGAGAGAGAGAGAGAGAGAGAGAAAGAAGGAAAGAAAATCAAAAGGGAAAGAAAGGTGGAAAGGGTTGGAAATGCACCCGGAAGTGACTGCAGGCGCACAGACGCCGCAGAAGATCCTCGGTCCCCTGACCGCAACCATTTCGAGTCTCGAGAGACGAGACCGTTACACCCCCCGCCTCGCCTCGTCTCGCTCTCGCCCCTCCCCCGCCTTCGGAGCGGACGAACCAGCGAACCGCGCGCCCGCTCATCTCTCCCCTTCTTCCTCCTCCCCCACCCCCACCGAATCCGTCCACCGAATCCCCTCACACTCCCATGGATCGCTTGTCGCGGCCGGCGAGCCCGGGCGGCGGCGGGCTGGGTTACGCGTCGCGGCGGGGCCTCTACGCGCAGGCGGCGTCGCATCACCACCAGGCCGGCGGCGGCAGCGCGCAGACGTCGCCTGGCGGATCCCCGAAGGAGCTCTCCCCTGTCCACCGCCACGCGCGGGCGGGGTCCCTCGGCGGCGCCGGGGCGGCCTCCACGGCGGGCCGCCGCGCGGGGGTCGGCGCCGGCGCCGGCGCCCGCGCGCAGAACAGCGCCGCGCGCGCCGCCGCGCAGCGCCTCGCGCGGGTCATGGGAGGCGGCGCAGCCGGGGACGCCGGCAGCGGGAGCGACGATGACGACGACTACGAGCTGTCTGGGCCCCCCATCGAGCTCTCCAACACCCCGCGCCGCACCTCCACCCGATCCCCTTCCCCCTCGGTAACCATCGTGTCCATGCGGTGGCATTTGGCTCTGCATGTGATTTTGTAGCGCATACTCTGCAATGCTAACTCGATTCTCAATACGACCTGTGCGATGTGCTAAGTGGTGGCGTGCAATTCTGTGCATTTTAGATAGGCCGTTACCTTGCGGATCAGACGCAGGTGGGCCGGCCGCCGTCGCTGACCAACCGTTACACGGCTGGGAAGTCGGTCCCCATGATCCCGTCGATCAAGCGGCCAGCGACCAGCGGTGCAGGGGCCGGGGCTGGCTCAGAGTCTCCCATGCCGAACCGAAGGGAGCAGAGGTAAGGACTGTCCTGCTCTCAAGTATTAATATTAAATTGTGCCCCATGCATGACAGGACAGATTTCGTGGTGCAATACGTTAATTCATTTTGCGAGCATCTTCACTGTGGGCCTGTCTGGAGTTTTTCCAATTATCCAAAAGTTCTGCTATCTCAATTTAGTGTATTATCTGGATTCCATGTCTCTGCTTAAGGCAGATGATTAGTTTTCCCGTGCTTTTTTGGTTGGTAGTTTGCTTTGAGGCTACGACTTATCTTCCAAGCACTATGTCGTGGCATGGTGGATGTGGATCAAAGACTGCGGAGTTGATAGTGGCGATCGACAGTCGGCCGAGTCTGTTCGCCTCACCTCACTGGAGCTATGGTGGACTTGAGAGAGAGGTAGAGAGGAAGATAGGAGGAATATTTTTTTCTCATTGCCGGCTTTGGGGACTAGGAGTACATCAGTTTGGTCTATATAACACCAACTGATCTCCTTCCGAAACACCTATTAGTTTTGCTAAACTAATAAGCCTATATAACTGGATTGCCTAATCCAAATCCAAAGCAAACTAATCACCTAAAATACTGAAGATAACTGAAGCCGATATTTCAGGCCGCTATAGGCTTCTTGTTGTGCTGGCTTTAGGTCCTGCCATACATAACACACTATCTATGTTGCGTGTGGCAGTTTCCCAGATGCAGAAACTGTGCTAAATAAATATCAAAGCAATAGAATTGTCTGTTAATTCTTCAGTTAGTTATTAGAGACCACTGCAACTTTAATAATGGAGTAACTTGATGCTAAATTTGAGATGGTGGTGCCATATTACCATGAGCATTGCAACAGAAGTCACAAATCATGATTCTGCTTATGTGTCATTGCTTGTTTCTGAAACTTACCAAAAGGTCCAATGATATGGTGGATTCAAATGCACCACCATGTTTAATATGAACTAATCATTTCAGCAATTGTAAATAGGATAAGTCATCATTGGATAACTGAAACTCCAAAACTGGGGTTTTCTGAGACACCATTTGTCTAGAACGATTAGCAAGCAAACCTTTGCAACTTTTATTCGAATGCATAGGAAAGCTGCGTATCATTATATGAAGGGTGGGCCTGGTGCAAGCTGTAGAATCTTCCCGCCTGTGACCGGAAGGTCCCGGGTTCGAGTCGCGGTCTCCTCGCATTGCACAGGCGAGGGTAAGGCTTGCCATTAACACCCTTCCCCAGACCCCGCATAGAGCGGAAGCTCTCTGCACTGGGTACGCCCTTTATAATAGAAGTACAAACCTTTGCAACTGACATGCCACATTACTGAATATAACACTCATTGATTGAATTACACTTGACTTAAGACATTTTTTTAGAAAATTTAGTCATGGTGTTAATTTAAGAATTATTCTATCTATCGGTGTTAGTTATGTAAGTATATTTTATTTAAAAGAACCTTTTGATACCTGCTGCCTTTGCATTCTTGGTTCTCAATGATCACTTGGTAAGTAATATAGGCTACATCATTCTTAGGAGATCAGTTGATCTTGGAAGCTCATTGAGAGCTCGTCGTACATCTTCTTCTCTTAATGATGAGGTAATTTCTTTCATGAATTCAAGTTTTATATAGAATCTTAATGCTACGATCTGTGTAACATTCTGTTAACTGCTTGCGGGGTTAACCTTCAATATGAGTTATCTCTCCTCCATGCTACAATTCTTGTCTAACCAATGTTATGGAGACTGTCAAAACAGCTGTCAATCATTTACCTAATTAGTTTTTTCTCTTAATCTGGAATGCCGCTGTGGTTCTTAATTTTTTATGTCCATGCTTTGCAGATTAACACACTTCAAGTGGAAAATGAAAGCATGTATGACAAAGTGAGATATCATGATTCTATTTTATTTTATGGTTTAACATGTTGGAAGCAATCAACCTTGTTTTATCTTACCTGCATCTTCCCAGCTTCAGCTTGCAGAAGAAAGGTCTGATGATGGAGATGCCAAATCCATGCACATGGAGGGCGAGGTCTTTTCTGTGATAAAATGCTGACTAAATCTTTGCTTCTGATATTACTTGATTGAATCATACCGTCCTATTTTTTAGTTTTTAACTTGACAACTGGATGTATGCTAGTATGATTTGTTTGGATACGTTTTTTCAAAAAAAATGATTTGTTTGGATACCATGTGAAAATTTTCATGTTTTGCATTTACCATATTTATTTCCGAACTTCAGGATTCTGATATTGGTGATGCAGTAGAAACAGAGCCAATTTTGATTAGCAGGTATGGCAGTTACTAAAAATATGCTACTTATTGTCGATGCCTGCATGTTTTAAACCATATGTTCAATTTGGCTCTCAGGAAAGACGCAGCACTAGACCAAAGAAAGGTATGTTTCCATAGAAAGCTTCTCCTGCTCAAAGTTTTGAGGGAGCACTAGAGAGAGAAGTTTGCTTTGGTTGAGTCACTTTTGATTATTACTTTGTGCACTATAGAGTTATTTGTGATCAATTTTTGCGTACTAGTTTTGTTCGAGCTTGATGCCTGTTTTGCTCTTAGATTGCTATGCGAATTGCTTCGCGAAGGTCCAGCAGTGCAAGCTGTAATGAGATTGCAACCCTTAAGTCAGAAGCAAAGGTGTATTGGATTTTTCCTTGAATCTGGTTATCCATTGCTGAACGAATTTTCCAGAGTCATCTTTTGCAATCATAAACTTTATTTGTATTTTGTGATAGGTTACTAGTAATCTGGTTACATCTGTATCTCGGAGAGTGAAAAGTGCTAGATCAGAACTGAGATCTCTTCAGGCAACAGCCAACAGAATGATCCTGTCACAGGAAGAGCTGGTGTGTACGTTGGTTACATAATCACAATATGATCACTTTTTGTCTGTGGCTTATCATTGTAATTGTTCATGAAATTCCTTAATCAGGAGGAGGTGGTGCTAAAGAGATGTTGGCTGGCCCGCTACTGGACATTATGTTCTAAACTTGGTACCAAGATCACTTTTGCACTGTTTATACTCCTTTACGATGAGGGAGTATTCCCAGTTGCCTAAATAATGTTTCAAATATTATGTGTTCTTGAATTATAACATATTGAAACAGCAACTAGCAACCATTGTAATCTGTAACTGCTAGCTCAACCTTAGGACCATGGGCTAGGATGCATAATTATCCAACCCTGTTTGTCCTTTCGTGTTCACACCACACATTTTTTTGCTACCGTTTCACTTAATTTGCGTTTAAACACTAGCGTTGTCTGGTTATTCATAAAGTTTGAACTTGTAGTCTCTCTTTTGTTCTTTTTCATAATAAATTCACACAATATTTCCCCAAAAAAGAAGATCAATGTTAATTTCCAATTTTATTTGTTCAATGAAAAAAATGTGTCTTGTCTATAAGCAAGCAGATGATTTTTTTAATATAAAAATTGTTATATAGTGTCTGGTTTTGGCTAATGTGAGTCCCCCCTCCCCTTAGGGATACATTCTGATATTGCTGAAGAAAAAAAAGAATACTGGTCCTCATTTGCACCACGTGCACTTGAAGCAGTTCTATCAATTGGGCAAAAGGCAAGAGATGGAACTTTATCAGGTTATCAAAGCTATCTTTAATTCTTGTTTTGATATTTTACTTCTATGAAGCTGTTGATACAAGAATAATATGTTCCACTTACTATGCAAGTACTTCACTATCTCTATTGGCTAATCATGGAGATGAGACCCAGATTCCCCACAGGTCATGACACAATTTGACAAGTAACAAATGAAAAACCTTCAGTAGTATTCTTATATTATACAGTGATTTGATTGTAACAAAATGAAACAACGTGGCCTATTTCTACATGCTAGAAATTTGGGAACAACTTCAATTGAGTTGCTCAGATTTGACTCTCTATTCTCATCTTCTGGCTGCAAAATAGGATTTATTTGCACTTTACATTTGTACTGTGCAGTGTAAAAGGAGCCTTTTGCTATGTGTACTAAAAAAATCTCATCTGAAGGGCTAATGTTAGTAGTTTTACTGCTTTTAAAATAGTCTCGGATGATGAAGGATTACTAAGTGTATCAGATTTCATGAATGACCTTAGTCACATAACCCCGTTCTTTTCTCATAGTTCATGTGGTGACAGATAATGCTGACATGGAGAGCAGAAGCAAAATGTCTGATGTAAATGATATATCTAGTGATGGCAATATTGAGACCATGCTTTCAGTTGAGAAAGGATTGCGTGAATTGGCTTCACTCAAGGTTTTTCTCAAACTTGAAGTGTGTATGGACCTATATGCTACTTCAAAGTTTCAACTGCTTGTCAGCATGATCAATTTAACTCAGAACCATGATTCACACTGTTTAAAATCCTCTTTGCGTGTATTAATTGATGTACATGATTTCCTAGAATGTGAAACCTATTGCCTGCCACGTCTCATACAGTTCTATTCTAGTTAATTGTTCAGAATATTTTGGATTTTGCTGTGCCACATCAGGTGATATGGAAAACTGGATTATCCAACTTCAGAATCCTACTGCTACTAGAGTGACTGGTCCATCTCTGTAAAGTATATAGCAAATGCAACATATATGAGATTGAGTTAGCTTTTGCATATTCTCAGAAAAATGGCATTACTATATTTCTGCTTTTATTCATAGTGCAGTAATAATAACTTCATATTTCCTTTGAAGGTAGAGGATGCAATCATGCTTACTTTGGCTGAAAATCGACATATCAAACCTCTCTCAGGTGGCTTTTCGAAAATGTACTCATTTCTTATACTTTCATCTTACTAATATTTTATGTACAATATTTCCCTGGACCACAAATAGATAGCCATAACTGGTTCTTTTTCGTTAATGAAGATAAACCCATAAAAGTAATGATCTTGATTTCTCTTATTCAATATAACAAGAACATAGTAGGGAATAGATCTTAACTCAATGTGATGATGATAATATTTGCATGTGTAGCATGTAGCTTAACTTGCACAATGTTGAGCCGCTTCCGAGAAATATTATGCATAATTCGCCTGTAAAAGTGTTATTGTATGAATTAATGTCATTGGATGAATAATTTTACCTTTTGATAAGGATTGAACTTCCATTACAGACCAAGCTTCTGAGGGTCGGAGCCCTTCCGAGTCATTAGGTTAGTTGCTCTGTCAGTACTTTTGTATCCATGACCTTTGACGTTTCACTTTCCTAATTATGTGTCTGACATATTTCCTGGTCCTAGAGTTAAGTGCGGAAGAGCGAGAAGATGTACGCTTCAAGCTGGTAACAGACTACGTTATGTTACTCAAAATTTATTTCGCTCTGGCCAGCATTAATATTCTTTTTTGTTCCATTGTTAATAATATAGAATGAAATACACTAACAAACTATAAACTTATTTTATGGTATCATCAAGATCACTAAACTCTTAAATACATTGTCACTCTAGGTCCAAATCAGCATGTGTTTGTTTATGTGGTACTCTTGGCTAAGAGAGATGTCCCTCTAATCACATGCTGATAGGGGGGATTTGGACCTTGAGTGGCACGGACTGTGATCTGCAATATTAAGAGTTTTGGGACATGAATGACACCATGGTACAAGTTTAAGGATTGCTAGTGCAGTTTATATATAATCTTGAGCCTAATCTCCTAATTCCATATTGTGTCCATTATGTGCTTAACAAACTTGACTACGTTAGTAAAGAGAAATGTAAAATAAATATTATGTGAAAACACTTCATATATGGCTCTGCTTTTCGTTACCTGGTAAGCTTCATGTTTAGTGTCCTCTAATTTTGACTTCCAACACACTACAGGCATGGTTGACCTATTTCTGGAGGCGGGCCAAAAATCACAACGTAGAAGAAGATATAGCTGATGAGCGGCTACATTTTTGGATAGAACAAAGCAACCACCCAGTTACTACGAGCGACGTAATAGAAGGTAGGTTATTTTCATCCATTCCCATAGTGAAACCTGAACCAAAACCATAATATTTCTATTTTGAGTGATCAACTGACAACTGGATATTTTAGTTTAATGCATGTTCTCTCCACCTGATCCCTTGCTAAATTCAAATTTTGAAGTCACAATGAATTCATTGTAATTGGTTTTTCCCATAATCATGTATAAAACCATAGAGGAATCGGCAAGCTGAATTTCAAACTTGAGGTCAATGAGATCATTATTGATTATCCTTTTCTTTTCCTGCAAACATGTAAAAAGTTGAGAGAGGACTCCACGAGCTGAAGAAGCTGGGAATCGAGTCTCAGCTGTGGGATGCGACGAGGAGAGGTCTCGATGATGATTTAAGCAACCACGGAGTCCAACTGGATCTGAAGCTTAGCATACAAATCTAGCAAATGCATAATATGGACCGAGGCTCTATTGCCGATTTTGTGCCGTCAGAGGCCCTAGAGCCCTCCTGATATTCTTTTCGTGTTGTTACTGGCCTTTTGCTTGGTATCTTCATGTAAAATATTAAACTTTGATCAAAATATCCACTAATCCTTTCTTTTGAGTTATCTATTTTCTGTTAAATGCTAATTTATCTGTGAAAGCAAAAGGGGTTAATCATGGAGCCATCGTGATGCTTTGCTCTCTGTCAGGTAACTCTACTGCAACAAAAATATGTATTGGATGATTTCCTTTTTCCTTTTGCAATGGTGGTGGTCTATTCTTTTTAGGAGCAAAAAGCGTACCAAAGCAGCTTCCAGGGTTATTAAGCGTAGCAATGATCGGAGCCTTGAATCACACACACTGACGGTCCAGCAGTCGCACTCCCCATCCTGCGATCCATGTCCACGGAGGCGCCGTCGCCGGCGAGCCAGCGGCGACGGCAGTGCACGGCAGCAGTGGCAGCCGCGGCCGCGGCCTGCCTCGCGCCGTTGGTCGTGTTCCTGGCGGTGCTCATCCTCGTGCCGTCCCTTATCCCGCGGCTGCTCCTCCGGCCGCACCACGTCGTCCCCTACGTCGCGTCCGGCGAGCTCCGCGCCCTTGCCTTCGACGCCGCGGCCTCAGCCGTCACGTACAACCTCTCCGCCGTGCTGCGGTTCGACGGCCCGCCGAGCCTGTACGCGCGCCGGTACACGGGGATCAGGGCCGCGCCGTTCTACGCCGGGCAGGAGCTCGGCGGCGCCGTGGCGCTGCCGGGGTTCACGCAGCGCAGCGGTGGAGGCAACGCGCTGCCGGTGGCGTGGGCCGGCGTGCAACGCGTCCCGCCCGGCCGGCGCGAGCGCGCCGTGGCCGCGGCGCTCGCTCGGGAGCGTGAAGAGGGTTGGATCAGCGTCAAGGTCGCCGTGCGCGCCGCGCAGGACGGCGAGGAGAGCGACTTCGCGTGCGTGCTGAGCTTCCCGGTGCCTCACAAGCGCGACGGGGGTGGTGTTGGCAATGGCGCCGCCCCCGGTGTGTTCGATGGCGGCAGTTGCATCGACGCTGTACGCGGCGAGTTCTAGACGCCACGCCACCATAATGCATGCTCCGACGATGTTTGGCATGCATGCTCCGACGATGTTTGACTTCGGTTCATTCGTGTCCTCCATGTTGTTGTACAATGCTGCGCATGTTCTTCGATTGCCAAGATTAGTTTTGAGCATCTTTAATTCAGATTCGTTTTTTTTTTCCTAATCTTGACGGAAATATACCTGATACATCCTGAAAATTTCTACCAAAACACTGTAACTGCCACTTAGGTGTCAGGATCATGAACTCTATTGGAAGCACTTCATTCTTCCAACATGGAAGGCGGTCTCATTGCAAAACAGTTGTAAGCTAGTATAAAACTTGATAGAGCAAACGTGGGTTTCTTCATCTATCGTCACCCAACAAATCATTACGTTACAGCATTCAAACAAGGCAAACGCCAGAAGCAGAGCTGAGCATTGGTAGCACGACTATTTGCTTCTCTTGACAGCACGCCTTCCCTGGCCCTTCTTTGGCGGGCCCTTGCCACGACGCTTCAGCATTTCCAGCTTAGCCAGACGCCTGCGGAAAGTAGACATGTCCCAGTAAGACAAATGCTCATAGCAATGAGAAAGTTCTATCAAAAAATACTGAGTACTCTGTAACTTATGCATTTTATCTGCTTCTTGGCTCATGATAATGTGGGCAGAAAGAACAGAAAACAACAGGCTATGTTCAATGCTGCAGTTCAGAATGGGAAACACTAATATCTATCATGCTTGATTCACACTTTTTTTTGAACACAATGGCAGGAGCTCTGCCTTTCAATTAAGATAGGGAAAGAAAGTTTATGTACAAGCAAAGACAGACGAGGTTAAGGTTTCATCCCCCCCTTCCCCCCATACGCCCGTGAGCTAAACGTACTCAAGAGCTCTCTTCCTTTGGTGGATGTCCTCCTTTATCCTTGCGGCTACCTGCGGCCCCGTTTGTATCAAGTTGTCAAAAATTCTCCTATTTCTCTCCTTCCATATATTCCAGAAGGTGTAGATAACTACCCCGTTGAGCCGCCTCCGCTCAGATCTTGGCACTTTCGCTACCGCGTCTTCCCACCATGACTTGATGTGGGTGGGGTTTACCTGGAGTTGTTGTTGCAGTTGAGTGAAGTTTTCCCACGATATGATTTGATCCCAAACCGCCTTGGCAAAAGGGCAACAAAGGCATAAGTGGAGGCTTGTTTCTAAGGGCCCGTTGCACATGACACACTGTTGTTGGTGCGGCCACCCTCTCTTTTGTAGGTTACGAGCCGTTAGAATTTTATCTTGCACTAAGATCCAGGCGAAGATCTTGCATTTGTTTTCCACATGCGCTTTCCAAATCAATTCCGTACGGAAGGGGGGGAGCGAACCGCTGAATTGGATTCTGTATGCCGAGCGGGTGGAGAAATTCCGTCATTGGTCCAACGCCAGTGATGGTGTCTTGGACACCTCAACAGTAGGTGCACATCCTGCATTCAGATCCACAGGGATACAAGCTCCTCTATGTGGGTAACCGAGGTGATTTTCCTCCCTAGTTTACGTATCCAATTGTTGTTCCGCATCTCCTTTTTCACCGTTTGGTTAGTCCTTGAGACTAGCCGGAACAAGTTCAGGGCTAGGTACTTAGGAGCTTGTCCATCGAGCCAACTGTGATGCCAAAACCTTGTCTTTGCACCATCTCCCAAAGATACATTGATTGAAGAGTTGAAGAGGAGGCGGTCATCATCAGAACACGGGAGCTCCGAGCCGCTCCAAGTCTTGGACTCGTCCGCCCATTCTTGCCAAAGCCATCGCAACCGGAGAGCTCGCCCAAATCTCTCTAGGTCAAGGACGCCTAAACCCCCAAGGTCTTTTAGTGCAGTAACTGCATGCCAGCTTAACTAGGCAAAGGTCCGCCGTTGCATTCTCCTCCCCTTCCACAAGAAAGACCTCCGATTTTATCTATCTTCTTCTTAGCCCACGCCAGAGGAAACACTTGTCGGTGGTAGGTTGGCATGGAGGAGAGGATGAGGTTACTAATGTGAGACGTCCCCGCTCTGTTTAGCCATCTTCCTTTCCATTTTGGTAGCCTGTGGGCAATCCAGTCTATGAGAGGTTGGACATGAATCCTTTGCGTTGATCTAATATGGAGTTGTAGCCCCAAATATTTGCATGGGAAACCCCTCTAGTACCGGTGAAAGGTGACAAGATTATTTGGTCTAGGTCGACGTTCCACAACCAATCGGATGCAAAGAGCTCTTTTGTAGATTTATATGGAGTCCCGAGAATGTGCCAAACGCTGCGCAGGATGGTTTTGACAAACTTCTACATCATCTTTTATGGGGGTTGAGGAAAATGGCGTCATCATCTCGCATACAATGAGGTTCTCCATTTAGCCATGCGTGCTTGGTAGGGGGTGAGAATCCTGCTGAGTTGCTAGGTCAAGCGTGACGTTGAAGCGGGTCCATAGCTAGGATGAATAGCATCGGCGAAAGCGGATCTCCCTGGCGGACGCCTCTGGCATGGCTAAAGGTGGCCCCCTGTCGCCCATTCAGCATGGGTGTCGAGGAGGATGTACGTAGGATGATAGAGATCCATTCCCGCCAACGCTGTCCGAAGCCCAGAGCCTGCATCGTCTCAAGCACGTACCCCCAGTGCACCGTGTCAAAGGCTTTGTGGATGTCTAGTTTCATGAACAAAGCCGGAATCTTCTGCTTGTGCAGTTTTTTAACCGCGCTCTGGACGTACAGAAAATTATCGTGGATGCTTCTCCTTTTTATAAATGCGCTCTGACAGTTTGAGACGAGGGAGTTGAGTCGGGGGGCCAGTCTGTTAGCTAACACTTTGGAGAAGATCTTTGCAATGCCATGGAGTAGGCTGATGGGTCTAAAGTCGGTAATTCTCGTTGCATCCGTTTTTTTTGGTAGAAGGATAATGGAAGCCGAATTTAGCCATTCGAACCCCTGGGCATTCAATGTGAATAAGCTGTTCATGGCTGCCATAACATCCTCTTTAATGGTTTCCCAACAAGCTTTGAAGAAGGTGCCCGTGAAGCCATCCGGTCCCGACGCTTTGTCGGAAGGCATGGCGTATACAATGTTTTTTTATCTCACCACAGGAAAAAGGCACCTCCAGATCGAAAGATCATGCTTGATTGTAGCCTAGGGCTTGCCAGATTGATTGTGAAATCTCTCGGCGCCATGAGCCAATGTGGTCTCTAAAATAATCGTGTATGACCTTTTCTTTATCTTGGTGGGCCACCGCGATTCCCCCATCCGTATGTAGACAATGAATGTAGTTCTTTCTCCGTCTAGCATTTGCTCTACTGTGGAAAAATTTTGTGTTAGCATCCCCACATTGGATGTAAGTTAGCCTCGATCTCTGTCGATTCTTGATTTTTCAATAGCAATGAGCCCAATGCTACTGGGATTTGAGTCGGCGACATAGGTGAAGCTCCATGGCCGTGAGCATCCTATGCTCTTAGGTCGCTTCTAAATGCAATAATACTTCTTTCACAATGGCGGTCAGTATCCTTGTATCCCCTATCTTCTCTTTCTTCCAACGCTTGATTGCTTTTGCCACACGCGCCATTTTGATATGCAAGCGTTTGATAGGAAGAGCCGAGGCGACCGGCCTATTCCAAGAATTTTGGACGAGGTCTTGAAATCCTTCCATCTTAGTCCAGTAATTTTCAAAGCGGAAGGACGTGCTGTGACGGTGGTCCAGCTCTCCCTGTAGCAGCAGAGGGGTATGGTCCGACATTAGTGATGGGAGGGAGTGTAAGAAACAGGCGGGGAAGAGCAGGTCCCACTCGTTGGTGCAAAGCAGCCTGTCAATTCTAGTGAGCGTCGGGTTGTCCTGCTGATTGCTCCAGGTGAAGCGACGCCCATTTAGCTTGATTTCTTTGAGGCTCAAATGATCGATCGACGCTCTAAATGCCCCCATGAGGCGCCGGTTTAGGTTGGAGTTGTCTTCCGCCTGGTAGATGAGATTGAAGTCCCCCAGGATGAGCCATCTATTGTGGACCGGCGGTGGAATGTTCTTCAATTCTTGGAGGAATTGAAGTTTCGGGGGGGCTTGATTCACACTTGCTATATGCTTTTCTTAGTATCTCTTCAGCTAGCGTGCTCCGTTTTTTTTGCATCTCATTGTCAATCTGCAAAAATTTTACTGTCTTCCAAGGGTGAATACTAAAAGTCTAAAACCAAAGACATGTAACTATACATAACAACATCACAAACTCCATTTCGGTCCTCGCAGTAGAACTAAGGTTTGATAAGCAGTCATAAACTCCTATGCCAGTGGAATCTGCAATACCTTTACTGTCTTACAAGGGTGAATACTAAAACCGAAGACTTGTATAATTATATAAGAATAAAATCTGGCATTCTAAAGATGCAAGGCAATCCACAGGTTCCTCATGTAGTTCTCGCTGCAGAACTAAGGTTCGATAAGCATTCTTGAACTCCTATTCCAAACAGCACAGGACAAACCTGATGCGACCATTAAGAAAACACATATGGGAGTTTGCACCATTTTCATGATTTCAACTCACACCCAGGAAAGAAGGATCAAATTATGATTTTTTATGGTTTCAATTGAAACCCAGAAAACCGCCCTGTTCGCTTGGCTTATAAGCCGTACTTTTTCAGCCAACGAACAGTATTTTTCTCTCACAACAAATCAACCAATAGTAATTTCAGCCATGGCTTATCAGCCAAGCGAACAGGGCAAAAAAGAGAGGATCAAGTAGTCACACTGATTCTTGCATATTTTCCATACATTTTTCAACTGTCAGCATTACCTCAGAAAAATTACAAAAAAAAATTATAGATGGGTCTGTGCCAACCAGTTTTCTATTCCTAGATACTAAGTGGAAATATGCCCATGTGCATGAAGCTTGCAATAAACCGAAAGAGAACTAAGTCCAACATGGTCAAAGACTGAATGATCAGATTTACTGTACTACAAATCATCTCAATACAGATATTCTGGACATGTCAGCTGTAGTATGTATCTTGCATTTCTCAACACATATTAAGTTGTGCGAGAGGACTCCTTATCAAACAATAGATGCATTCTTGGGACGAAAAAAAGCCAACATATCCTATAGTGACACCAAATCCAGATATCAGAGCACCAGACTAGCTGGAGAAGCCAAAGTACATAGTTCTATACTTTACTTGGTGATTACCAGACTAACCCTCTGACAAAAACAAATGCATTGTGCAACAACACAATCAGTAGAAGCTGCTACCCAGCCTGCTGCTGCCAACTTATCATCCAGCATCACTAGCTCCCTACTCGCCCTGGTCTGTTTACTTTACTATCAGATTCAGTATGAACAACCATGCTACTGAGGGCGTTCATTTGCTTCACAATAACACAATATCGTGCCAGATCGACATCAACCACCAGCAAAGATAGATGAAAATGAACTGGACAGCCACCAGAGGTGCTAGAGATACTAATTGCTCTAGACCTGCAAAAATATCCATCAAAGGTAAAAGCACCGTATTCCCATGCCTAGAAGCACCATGCTGCAATGGCACTACAGCATCCTGGTTGCAACAACTAACGACTAGTACATCAAGTCTGTGATCCCATCAATTTGCGTCGGTAATTGAAACCAACAAATGCATCCCCGAGCGTCAGCGAGATGACACACTGGTTCGGAGGCATATCAACGAACACACACCGAGAACGAGCAACCCACGGCACAGGGATCCCGTAGCAAAGCAAGCGAGACATGCGGATCACTACAAGTCCCCCAGCGGCGGCCGAGGAGAAGGGAGGAGGAGGAGGACGTGAGCACTTACTCCTTCTCCTCGCGCGCCATGACGAGCGGGTCGTCGCGCTTGATGTCGTAGGGGTACCACTGCGCCACCTGGTCGCCGACCATCTTCTTCCGCAGAAGCTTCGTCGCCGCGCGCTTCCCCGTAGGGTTCAGCGCGTGGCCGAAGATGGATGCCCGCACCTCCGCGGCCCCCGCCGTCGCCGCCGCCGCCAGCAGCCGCCGCAGCCCGCCCGCCGCCGCGCTCATTTCTCCCTCCTCCCTCTCAGCGGTGGTGGAATGGATGGCTCGTGATCTGACGGACCGACGGCCCAGATCGCCCTGTATTGCCGTGGTTTCGTGGGCTTCTCGAGTATTGGGCTGGACCGGGCGGGTAACACGGTAAGCTCGGCCCGGATGAATGGACGATATGTCTGATGGGCCATCATCCTTTTTCCTTTTTTCCGTGCTTTGCACGAGTGTGACTAAATTTTCAGAGAATCCACGAGGACGGTCTTTTCATAGTTTCCTACTAAATCCATGTTTCTTTCTGTTATAAGAATCAAATCCATGTTTTTACAGTATAGCATAATGTCTCGTGAGGCCTTCACCAACTGATCCGATGAACTTAAAACTTGAATTCAAGCTCCATTTTGAAGTTTGACTTTGTCCAATTCAATTTATTTGAGATCCATCATGATTTATCATATATCTATTCCGGTCGCTCTTCATCAATTTTGCTAGGAGTCATATGTGCAACAAAGCGCTCTCACTGCAACGTACATTGATAAAGCTACTAGTCTCGTAGCATTACATCTAAGTGCTCCCATCACCAAATTGCACTTAGACACTATTATGTACTTAGCCTTCACGAAACTCTGCAAGTTGCAAAATATGCCAAATCCAAACTCGGAGGGCCAAGAAAACCAAATGACCTCAATTTGACTAACTCTTTGCCGCTATCACTGCAAAACAGTGTTAGCCATAGTTCACCAATCACTAAAACCCAAAAATAACCGAAAATAAGGGCCTCAATGCATAAGAGGAGGATGTCAATGTACTCTTTTTTATATTTTATTTATGTTAATAAAAGTCCAGTAGAGGGCAACCCCTCCCCTGTGTTCCTAAAAAAATGTACTCCGCCAACACCTGCTCACCATGAGAAGGGCGGGCCTGGTGCAAGCGGTAGAGTCTTATCGCCTGTGACCGGAAGGTCCTGGGTTCGAGTCGCGGTCTCCTCGCATTGCACATGCGAGGGTAAGGCTTGCCACTAACACCCTTCCTCAGACCCCGCACAGAGCGGGAGCTCTCTGCACTGGGTACGCCCTACACCTGCTCACCATGAGCGGCTTCCAAGGTGTGGGCTGGCACCTTCTTTCTTGAATCATGCTAGCCAAGGTGCTCGATGAAACGAGGGACTATGCAACTATTGGTCTGAGACATATGAGATGCTCTAAATGCATTGCTCATCACCTTTTTGCAAGAGGATGACATAGTTTCATGGGCTTATCTCCGTAGTGCAAGAGGATAGGAACAATTGCTCAAGCTTTTTCTCTGTAGTTAGAACATAGGTTGATAGGTGTTTTTGAGTTATATATCGGGTCTAAGATTCTATGCTGCATAGAGCATACTAATCTCATTCTTCTCTTCCTCCTTTTAACTTTTAACTTTCTGTTTTTCCAAATGAGTGCAAATAAAGAGATGTTTTACAACTGTTTCAAATGACATAAAGAGAGAAAGAACAGGTTTCATAGTTGTTTTAACCAAACAACTTATAACCTTTTCACAACACATAACTTAGAATAGCTTTTCCATGCATCTCAAAGCTCACAGCTGAACAAAAAGTCTCTTAGAATAGCTAGCCACAGAGTTGTTTTTTCATCGATGCTCAACAAGTATATATTCCTAGCAAATTCGTTAAAAGAATATTCACAAGCTTGTAGCCTATGCCTATTTCTACTCTAATGATTGAGGTTTGCCATTGCAATAGTTGATGGGATTTTTTTTTTTGCATTTGTTATGTTTAGCCCACATTGAAAATTGATGATAAAGTAGAGGGAGGCAACTCTCATCTGTCAGACTAGTATTTTGAGTTGAGTTAAGCGTAAGACTTTACCTTATTGTGGGTTTCAATAACCCGAGTCTGGGCTGAGCAGGACATTACGGACTCCAACAGGAGTCCACCTAGTGTCCTAGTAGGCATCGATTGTGTGGGATATTAGAGCATCTCCGAAAGACTTTCTAAATCTTACTCTCTAAATCATCATTGGAAAAGTCATTTACATAAAAATCGATTTCTATATTTTTTCACTCTGCAACAACTTTTCTATATCTCGTGCGCACTCTAGGGAGCCATTTTTGTCTTCTATTTTTGGTTAGCGAAAAATCCGAAATAAAAAATAGGTATATTTGCATAACCATTTAGACAAATTGTTGGAGGATAATTTTCATTAAAATCTCTATTCTTAGCATTTAGAAATGATACAGAGAGTCTTTTAGAGTTGCTCTAATGGCCTTCCTGTTTTCTCCACGTTGCAACCACCGATGCCCTAAAAGTGGTTGCTGAATCCCGAATTTATTAGATTTTTTTATGTAAATATTTGCTGGGACCCACATGAGAGGACGAAGGCGATGCTTGTGCACTGACAGCTTGTAAAGGCCAAAAAACAGGACCTGTGTTTGCTTGGTGTATTTTGGTTCTTTTAAAAGCTTTGGTGCTCCTTTCCTGCACGCTACGTGTTTTGCTACGTGGACCATCAAAAGTTCAAAACCACTATAGTCTTTTGCTACGTGGAGCATCGTGGGGTTTTTTTCGAGTTCGGTGCAGGAATATGCCTCTGGAATAACTTGTGTTGCTTACGCCGTATTGAGATCCAAATCACACTCCGGCGAGGAGCAGCACGTCCAGGTTCAATTAACGTATCACACATACCAAACAACTCTAGGGATCGACGAAACCGATGGTCTATAGATCGATTCGGGAGGCCCCTCGGGAGGAGCACGTATTGTTCTAGGTCGGCAAGGCCACATATAATGTCGTTGAATCTCGTGGAGAGATGCAACCAAGGATAGGAGAGTTGAAAAAAAGAGGAAAATAGGTAATAAATGTAAAAAAAACGATTAAGTATTGGATTCTTCAATCGACCATGATCCTCTGATATATATAGAGGGGTGGTCTTATCTCAATAAAAAACGAGTCCAATCATAATCTCCAAAGTTTTTTATGCGAAAAATGTCCAAAAACCGAATTGGAAAGTATTCGGTTCGGACTCGAACACACAGTATGGAGAGATGCAACCAACAGCAGGAGAGTTGAAAAAAGGCAAAAATTAGGTAATACATGTAAAAAAAGACGATTAAGTATTGGATCCTTCAATCGACCGCGATCCTCTAATATATATAGAGGGGGTGGTTTTATCCGAATAGAAAACGACTCCCATCATAATCTCTATAAGTTTTTTATGCGAAAACATGTTAAAAAACCGAATCGGAAAGTATTCGGTTGGGACTGAACAGGCAGGCCGGTTTTTGACGGGCTGAGGACGCTGGTTGGGCCGAGGAGCATCAGGGAGACCGGCCAGGCTGGTTGGTTGCGACGATCCAAAATATGCCTCGGGACCCTTTCATCATTATAAACATTAATTATTGCAAAGCCCGTTGATCATTTTTGTTCTTCAACAACTTGTTTTTTGCATGGTAGAAGCTATATAATATGGAAAAGCTGTTTGATTTAAGTTTTGGGGGATTATCACTCCTGCACCAACCGTTCTAGTTGTGCCTACAATGCAACAAGATGCAAGTTATTACTTGCACAGTATGATCGAGGCTATATATATATACAGAAGTGTGCTGTCTTCATTTTTTAGTAGAGGAGGGGTATAGTGGCATCTGATGCAGAAAATAAGGAGACCCTCCGGTCCGGCCTCATCGTCGACGGTCAACGTCATGGCCTCAACATAGACCCAGCACTTCTGCAATTGGAACTGGAACAACAACATCTGCAGAGGATATTCCACTTGGTTGTTCTCTGTGTCCGATCCCTCTGCCCGGCCGGGTGGATCAACCTCACGTCCCTTAGCATGATGCCATGATGGTATGTGTGCTTGCAGTTCCCAAGAGTCAATGCATGAGTCTATACGCATTGCAATTCAGGATAAATGTTTTTCAGATTCCATTCCAAGCGCTGACATCGCATAACAGAGCAACAACGTATCGATAATCAGATCATGCACCACACACACCAACTTTTCTCCAAGGATCAGAAAACCAAATGCTCTGAACTTTGAAGTAGCCAGTGATTAGCTAGACAGACAAAAGAGAGAGGAAGATGATAGCCTGATGATGGTTATTATTTACAACGAGCTAGCGCTCCATCCATATGAATGATTAATTGTGTATTTGCCGGTGCTGATGACCGACCGATCGATAAAAATCATAAGCAGAAGAACTAGAATAGCTTGTTTTCTGCATGCGTGTTTGATAAGTATCTATCCACTCCCACAAAAGGGGGGTGCAGCGCAGTGGTGGCTCATTCATTCACAGTCTTCTGCACTAGTTACACATCACACACATCGATCTTGCTTGAGGCCATTTTCTTTGTCTTCTCATCAGCCTGACTTGACTGTGTCGATGGCATGCGCTAGCTCCTCGATCTTGGCGCCAGTGACCTCCTTGACGACCTTCCCACCCTTGAGGATCTTGAACGTTGGCACAACCTTTATTCCCAGTTCCTTTGCAAGTGGCTGCAAGCAGGGTTTCTTTTCAGTATTCATGCATGCCATACATATTCCACAGCTAGCAGTGATGATTGATGATTTGATGAACGAAATACAGACACAGAAGAGAAGAGATAGATCATAGATGTCAATCAAAGCTAAGTAATCCTAGCTTAGGTAGTTAATAGCTAGCTGACCTTGTTGTCCTGGTTGCAGTCGAGCTTGAGGAACACAACATCCAGGTTCTTCTCAGACATCTCCTGGAACTTGGGAGCCATCACTTTGCAAGGCCCGCACCTGCAAATGAAAACTGTCTCAGATTCTACAATTTACAGTCTCAGATTCTACAATTTACAGCCTCAGATTCTTACTTTCTTAGTACTAAAAAATTGTACGTACCATTCGGTGTACATGTCGAGGACGACGACCTTGTCGCCGGCGGCCTCGACGATGGGCCAGAAGGTGTCCTTGTTGACCTCCGTGACCTGCCCGGTGACGGCCTCAGTTCTCACTCCCACCGAGGTCGTCTCGAGCCCGCTCGACCTCACCGGCGCG